AGGTTAAAAAGAATTGGTGATAAGCAGCATCCCTGTCTTACACCTCTACCTATCTCAACGCTGTTGGTGTCTCCTGAGTCCAGTCTCACTTTGACTTTTTGCTGCATGTGCAGATAACATGATATCTAAATTAAAATTGATTTTTTTGAAAATAGTTTCTGTGCAGAAATTTGCACAAGCCATGAGTGGTTTTTCAGTAATGTATTTGTATCTGAAATAAGTGAACATTCAGTCCAGTGAGGTATGCAGAATGTGTTTATCAAATATTTGCATTCCATTCAAGTGCACCTTCCCACTTTTGAAATTCTTGTATATCATGTGGCACCACCTAGGCTTTGTAGTTAGATAATCTAGCAATTTAAATTAAATTCATCCATACAACTGACTTTACATTACAGACACTGAAATTATGTTCACAATCAGCCACCTGTTGTGTCACATGCTTGTTGTGATTGTCTTTGTGTGTCATGGTTCTGTAACTTGCTGTAACCATGATGATTCACAGAATTCTCTGTGTTATACAAGCTTGCCACCCACATCCATTGATTTTCCTGTACAGGGTGAAGAACTAAATCATTGTCTTGAGTTCAAGTCGCTTGCTTGAACAGGCACCTGATGCAGGTTAAAAATCAGAAATAAGGTCCCCAAAATTCATACATTTACAAATGTACTGACCGACATATGCATATATGTATATAGCAGGTCATTCCTGAACATTAGCAGTACATTTATTGCCTTGTACCTGAAGATGGCCTGCTGTTGTGGAAGTATGTTGTGGGGAAATATTTTCTGAAAGAAACTCTTTCTGCATAAAGTTGTATGGATGATGTAACATTAATGGTTTTATTGATTACAAAATTCTTCTTACACACTTTTTATCACTGTGAGTAATACTGAAAGTTTAGCAATTAATCTTGTTTATCTAGAACTGTGTCCCACAAGCTTTTTTTACTCACAGCACACCCTAATTTGTCAGGCACACCACAAAATTTTGCCTTAAAACAGGGGAATAAACTGTACATGGCCGCAAATATGCATCATATTTTAATCATTATCTTATAAGAATGCAGGCATATGGAAACAAACCAAGATGTTGAATAAAAACTATTGGTGATAAATGAGTATGTGTGTCTTTGTGTATTCTCAATACTGTTTATGAAAGATAAGATATTGCCGTACTGTAACTATAATGTGTGAGTATACAATTTCTTATAAACATTTGTGGCACACCAGCATGTCATGGCACACCAGTTGTGGAATACATCTAGAACAGGCTAGAGAACACAAACCTATTTATACTTTCCTATTTTTCTCTTTGAAGCATGTAAAGATAATCAGAGATTTTATTCATGGATTCATATTTATGCTGCTTTTGCAGGATTTTACAATTTTCTGCACAGTTCCCTGCATATCTCATTCAGGATTGTTGCACATAGCAAAACACTTTTGACATATTACAAATTAATGCACGTCCATCTTCTACTCTATGTTGTAGTTCTCCTACATCAGTAAATGTTGTAGCATACACAACACTTGATTTAAGTCAGGTGATCTTGCAGGACATAGTTTCAAAATTTAGTGTCCATGCCCCTTGTTTACACAGACATTTTTCATTGTTTTTGTGCACAGAATATTCCCCTAAAGTGGTGCCATGTATTTCAGAAACACCTAATATTTAGGTATTAACTGCAAGAGTTAAGCAGTGTCAGATAAAGGATAGCTAGAATCATTAGTATTATTGGTAACTTGTGAGACAAAACATGGCAGTAGTTTAAAGTACTATATTTTTCAGGAGTACCTATAGGAAATTGTTATATATCTGATTCAGGAAACCTGTTATTTCAACATTTTGAACATGGTAACACATTGATATTAATAAAGGCACAATTTTACTAAAATATATTTTCTATAAAATCACAAAAGTAATTTATTAAATTCTCAGTTCTCTTGGTTCTTCACACAATTTTAATAACAAGTGAGGAATATTATTTATCAGCCTTTTGGGCCTCATACATATATTGATGTTATGATGTAAAATTATTGTTCACACATTCTGAGATAAGCTTTAGACATTTAATGTCATTGTTCAGGGCTGGAAGAAAGTAAATGTGCTTAAACTTTGTAGAACAGTTTTGGTTAAATTATTGATTGCAAGATGGAGTTGACTAGCCCATAAATGAATTGCATATCACATGGGAAGGAAAGAGATAATGAAAGAGATAAGCAGTTTTTTACTTGCTCTTTTAGTTCCTTTCTGAAGGATGTTTTTATTACTAAGGCTCATGGCAAGAAAAGCAGAATGACACAAATGGTGATCTGGGTAACATGAATGGGGGGGGGGGGGGGGGGGGAAGAAGAGCAGTTGTGTCATGTCATAGGATGCCATTCCAGGCATCATTTGGGTGTATGAACTGGAATTGGAATATAAACTAAGCAGGTGTTTATTTCAATGTGATTGTTACATAGAATTTTATTTATTAATTTGTGTTGAAGAAAGTTGGTGTGATAATTTTGTGTAGTCGTTCTAAAGCAAAAATTAACTGAAGCCACATTCATGATCGGGAAGTTCGCTGTAGCGACATCAAGTTTGAGTAAAATTTTAATGTGAATGTTTCATAGTGTACAAGAAACTCTGGTTATTTGACTTTTAAAATAATTTACTTCGTTTAATTTCTGTGCCCAGAAAGAAATGCCAAGGTTAGAATAACATATGTCACCTCTTAAGTCTTGTATTTCTCAGATGTATGTATAAAAATAGCTTTAGGAGTAACCTGAATTTATTACAGGCAACTCTCGGTTTACGAACGAGTTCCGTTTCAAGACGTTTGTTATAAGTTTTTGTTCGTTATGTGTGTCTTGCATTCCTGAGCTTTTGCGATTCATATCATATATGCTAGCAGTCATTTTAAAGTATTAAAACCATGTACTAATTATCATATAATAATTTTCTGATAATTATTGTAATAAATACTTTTTTTAAAAGTTTATTTATTTAAATCTTACAATTATGTTCACTATACGTTTGGCATTTAGTTTTATAAGGAACTCTATCTATTGGCAACTTTAAGAAATTTTGAATGAATTGTGACATTTGTTATAGCGATTGTTCGTAAATCGAAAGTTGCCTGTATATTTGTTTCTGTCTTTGTAATGTTGTTTCACTGTTGGGACATGTTCACAGCAAGAATCACCTGTGCCAGCACTGTCACCAATAATAGGATCCTCCACAGATCGATTCTGCTGGTTGTGTCACAAAGATGGTATAGTGATCAGCTGTGAGACATGCCCCCGTGTATATCACTTACGTTGCATCCAGCTGGAAGCTGCACCGACAGAAGACTGGGTCTGTCCAGAGTGCATCACTATCCTTCATGCGGAGAACACTGACACACGGTGAGTGGCCAAATGATGTAATGAATGAAAAGGGGATAAGAAAAGCAATTATGTTACTGCATGCATACTTTCATATTCATGTGGGATGTGTTCCTGAGGTGAATGAGAATGGACTCTGATAAATATATGTATGCATACTTTTATTCAGTTATATATTATTCCTTTTCACAGCTTGTATACTTCCACTTGAATTGGTAACAACTAACTCCATCAAGCACAATCCTTCTTGAGAAACTAATAGTGTACTCATATAGTCAAGTAGTTCCCTGCCCCTTCACAAGCACACACAACAACAAACAGGAATTAATCAGTGATCTGTTTTCCTCCTTGATTGTTGTGTTCTATTACAATATTATATATTGTAATAGAACACAACAATGGCGAGTAATGAAATGGCTACAAATTGGTTAGTTATAATAGAACACACGTCATCAAACAATGGCGATTAAACAAATGGCTACAAATTGGTTGGTTATAATAGAACACAACAATCAAATTGGTTGGTTATAATAGAACACAACAATCAAATTGGTTGGTTATAATAGAACACAACAATCAAATTGGTTGGTTATAATAGAACACAACAATCAAATTGGTTGGTTATAATAGAACACAACAATCAAATTGGTTGGTTATAATAGAACACAACAATCAAATTGGTTGGTTATAATAGAACACAACAATCAAATTGGTTGGTTATAATAGAACACACGTCATCAAACAAACATTTGTTTGAAGATTTCTGTCTTCTGGGTTATTGCGCTGTGTAGTCTGGTCGATGTTAACCAACGTTTCAGAGGTCATACTGCCTCCGTCATCAGGGCGATGACGGAGGCAGTGTAATAAAAATGACAGTAGTAAGTTGATTGTCAGAAGCTGCACTGTATTCATTTTCAGGCCTGCTACCATGTATATTTTGTTCCAGAACTGTGGTGTGATGGTGGTATATATCATGTTATTTTCCTTGAAATTTGGGGTTCTAAGAAGGGTTATAGATGTTTGAAGGAAGAAAACATCTTTTCTTGATAATTTAGCACTTACTAGTATTTGGGAGCTACCTGCTTTGGATCTTGGCCATGACCACTGATATCTTGTTGGGGGGGGGGGGGGGGGGGGGGGGGTGCTCCCCAATTTCGGAGAATGCTGAGGTACATCCTGCATGGACTTTTAAGATACACATATGCTCACAGAATTTAAGTTTCTGTTAAAAGGATCTCATACTTAATGCCTTTGCGTTTGTATTTACCAGATTCTACTGATTAAAATTTAATTAGCAGCCCTATGGATGCATGTATTATATTTGCAGTCTTGCATTGTACTTGATCCCATACATATCATCAACACCCTGGTGACATGTGTTTTTAGAATCTTGCATTAAATTTGACCATTGTTTAGTATGCCTACTTTTAATACTGATATGCTGTGATAGTAAATGGCTAGTAGCAACTTAGCTTTCTTCTGATATATGCTATACTTGTAAACATATTAAGTGGAGTATTGCATTTAATACACAGGCACATATTCACTTCCCTCAAACTCAGATGAATTGAGTGTTGGATCCACACCTTTGTGGGAACTGCAGATATAAGAAGTCCTAAGAGGACATTCCATGG